GATGAGATGAGGACTTAAAATTTATAGTGTAGAAACTCCAAATGCTGTCTTCAATGACCTTTCTATGATAAACTTTGTTGGAGCCATGGTGAAAATTGAAAAATTAAAACAGGGTAGTGAGTTTTTCACATGATCAATTTATATATCTGTTTATTCTGTACCTTTCTTGTTTCATGATATTAAAATAACTCTTGACTTTATGAAATAATAATGAAAGTTAAGAGAGAGATATAAATGTATATGTACATATACATACTCATAAAATGAACAGGAGTTTATAGGTTACTAAATTTTGGAGAGGAAATATTGCTAATGTTCTGGGAAATCTGATTTTAATGCAAATTAAATATCCTTATATTATCCATGACAATCATGACCATATTAGTTAGGTTATAACCTGCAAAAGCAAGAGTTTAGTTTACATACTCTTGCATAGGCATAGAAGAAAAAAATGATGTAGAAAGGTTTAAAGAGAAAACTGAAGCTCAAGATAGTTGGGAAGGTTTAGAGACAAAAAACAACTTTGAGAAACTTCTAATCTCACCCAAATGAACTCGAACCAAGGGTACAAAAATAAGTTGCACATTTAAATGACAAGGTCTCTTTAAAAAAATCTTTGAGGAGTTGTAGAAAGCAGGGGAAAGGTCTGGGGCAGGGAGCTGAAGATCTGACTTTCAAATTCATTATCTTTACCACAATCTGGTAAATTTGTTATATATTTATTAGAAAAAATGTTAAGTACTTTTAAAGAAAAATCTAATTAGTTTTAATAATTAATTAGCATTTATAAAGAGTACTCACAAAATCTAGAAGTCAAATTCATATCCAATTTTTTAATTATAATAATTCATAACCAATTAGCCTATTTTGGGGGCCAAGAAAAATAAAAGTTAGCAGGATGTTACTAATGTGAATAGCATAATGTAGTGGAAAAATCTGTATTTCATGGTGAATACAAATTATAATTTTAAAATAATATTGTTTAAATTTTATTTCAAGTTATTCTAGTAAATATATGTATTTATTACACATATGACTTGGGCAAGTTGCCTAATTTCTCGATGCCTAACCTCTACAAGGTGAGGATGATGGTAATTCCTACCTAGCATGATCGTTGTGAAATTTAAAGGATTCTAAATATATAATGGATTTGGGTGTAAGTTCCTTGCACATAATAAGTGGTAAAGAAAATTTAATTATAGGGATTCTAGATTTCATCAAAACATTTATGAAAATTGAAATAGGCAATGTACATAAGTAAGGAATATAGGCATAAACAGACTTGGATACATTGAAAGTGATATTTTATAGGGATTTTTCTTTTATAAAATGTATAACTTGAATAAAAAAATTGAAAACATGAGTATGATTGCAAATCTGAAAAACATAACTCACCAAAGACTGAATCACGATTCAAAATAGATAAAGAATTAGTTCAATTCAACATTAAACTATAAGGATGCATTGATTAAAATTCTCTATTCCTAAGTTCCAAATAGCCACAATAAGAATAAAGGATGGGGCTGTCAGTGGTAGAGTGCTCACCAGTTTGGGTGAGGCACTGGATTTAATCCTCAGCACCACATAAAAATAAATAAATAAATAAATAAATAAATAAAGGCATTGTGTCCACATACAACTAAAATAATATAAAAAAAGAATGAAGGATATATGAGACACAAGTAAATTATACTTTTAAAAAACACTTTAGCAATTTTAATTTATATGAATTATATATAGGAATTTAATTTATAGGATTTTATTAGTGTAAAATTATATTAAGGAAATTATTGTTATTTCAATGGACATTATGCCAAATGGCATCTAGAATGTTTGATTAATTTTTGCCAGAAACAATAGTATATTGACATATTCCACAAGACACTGAGCATTTGCACACATTAGCCATATAATGATATTCAAAATTCATGAGAACTTTCTGACATAGGTCAGAAAAAGCCTTACATATGTTAGAGACCATTGCTTTCTTATTGAAAAGGGTTGACAAAGAAGATAAATTGAATTTTTTTTATAATTACAGTGAGCCGAGCCAGAAAACAAAAATTACATAATCAGTGAGCCAGTAAATAAAAATTATAGATACAAAGAATTACTGCGATATAAGGAAAAACCCTTAATTCACCTTTTAACAAGGATCTGGGCCAACATTTCTTAGGCTTTTATTATGTGGCAGGTAGTGTCCTAGGCGCTTCTTGTGACCATGCTTAAATCCCCCATGAAAGATTCTCCTGTTTGGGTATTATTAGTGCCTTCTGTGGATGAGGGAAGTGAATCTGCCAGGGTGAAGCAGCAAGCCCAGATAGGATGTGGGGGAATCAGACTGAGAAGCACAGGGGTTGCAAAGTTGGTGTTTTTAATAGGAGTACCAGTGAGTTTCCAGTGGCCTGGGTGTTCTAGCAGCCTGAGCCATATAAAGTGATTCTTGAATTTTATGCCCTTGAACTAGATTGACATCTTTTAATTAGTCCTTTGTTCAAATTATATTATCTTACCACTGGATGGTAATCTAGTGAGGCCTGGACAAAGGATAGGTAGCTGATTATTGACAGATAGCAGGCTAACAGCCTTCGGGTGCAGGTAGGGAGTGGGGCTGGGGGTGTGTTGTGGATCAAGCTTTCCAACACAGGCAGTCACCCCCTGGGTAGTTCTCTTCCTGCTCTTTGGTCACTTTTGGTCCTGTAGGCAGGATGGGAGGAGGAGTTATGAGTAGAAAAGAAGCCTGAAATCTACAAAGGAGCATGGAACCTCCACTTCCTCAGTCACCAGCTCTGGACCCCCTCCTCTCAGGAGGAGTCTCTCTCTGTCTCTCTATCTCTGTCTCTCTGTGTCTCTGTCTCTGTCTCTCTGTCTCTCTCTGCCTCTCTCCTCTCTTTTTCTCTCTGTTCTGCCTTTTAAATACAATTTTCCTTGTCATTTCTCAGTTGTTCAATCTTCAACACCAGGGGAACCAGGACCTGAAGTTGATTTTCAAGACCAGTTTCACTATTACCTCATATCCTTGATTGCTAACCTTTCAGCAACCTGCCACATTCTTGACCTTCATGCCTCTCTCCAATACTATTTACCTTGGTATAAAATAAACAGAAAATAACTAGGCTTTTCTTATTTTAGGCCCTGAGGACCTAAAGAATATTTTTTAAACAGAAAATTGAAAATTTATGAAGTTATATATTTTCAGCTGTAAGAAAATTAGTCTATAAAGAGAAGTCTATTCGGGTATTTATGTGCTTCTTTTTCCTTAAGGTTAAGTGTCTAATAAAAATTCTGGTTACATGAAATATAAAAAATTTTTAAAAATTCATTATACATTATACAAAAAAATTCATTATACATTATACAAAAGACAGACATTATACATTATAATTATCAATGGATTGACTCCTATATATGCAATTAAAAAAGAATATCTGATCAAAATGCTAAAGTCACCACAAAATCTCTCCACAAAAGTAGTAAAAAAAAAAACCAAAACCCATGTTTACTATTGAATAAACATTAAATCAGAATGTGATATGCATCCTAGGCCACCTGCAAAGAGACTGCAAAGACAGAAAGGAATCCCATCCTTTTTTATAATCCATTTGACACATCCATTACATCCATGTTCCCAAGGGTAATTAGTTTTCTAAGAAGATCTGATAGTGCCAGTTATCACAGATAGATCACCTAACTTGGCAATTAGTTGACAGTTTGTCTCAGTTCTTGGCTTTATCCAGAGGAAAAACAAACTTCTCACATCTTTAAGACAGGTGCTAGGTGCTAACCAAGTTTAGGCTCCTACCTTCCCACAGAAATATAGTATTTCTCTTGATGTTTGCATTTCAACAAGATGCCTCTCATGTACTTCAGAAAGACATTTCTGGGTTACAAAACTGACATTTACTTTTTAATAGAATTTATATACATTTCAAAAAAGAGAAGAAAATACAAGGACCTGTTCTAAAGTAAATGCTCTAGAAAAAGGATGGGGTCTGAGCAGGAGGACGTCCCTTCCCTTATTTTCAACAGAGAGGATCAGCCTCTTATTTGTGATATTTATCTGCAAGGGCTTTACAGGCCCTTACAGTTTGCAGGGTAATTATTATTTTTTTTTATCTAATTTTCACATAACTTGTATATAAATAAGAAAATTCAGAAAGAACATCTAAGCTGTAAAATTAGTTATCCTTGAATTATGTGATATAATTCCTTTTCTCCTGTGTTTAAAAGTAAACACCACAAACATGCTTGAATGTGTTAATAATTTGACTCCCCTGTGTATGGATAAAACTGATAATCATATAAAAATAAATGGCCTCCATGGTTTACACTCCTTCTCCCTAATTATTAAATTCTCATTCTGAATAGCCTATATCAAGTGGCAGTAATGGTAATGATCCTCTTTTCTCTAAGCTGTGCATTATTCTCATCATCATTGCATTGACTATAGCATGTATTCAAGCTTTGCAGACTGTACTGTCCCTATCCACAGCTTTACTACTAATTTATTCTTTGCAGTCTCAACATTACTCATACAAGCAACATATTTCACTGATCACAGTGGTTAAGTTAGCCAATGATTCAATTGTGGTGACTAAGGGAATATTTAATTTTGAAAAAGATCCTCCACCCAATATGCTGGTAATATATGAAGTACTTAAGTTGACCTCATATTCTCCAGTGTTTTTTGACTTTGGAAAGTTTCTTGGACTTTACAACATATTAAGATGAATGAATATGACATAAGGGGAAATTACAACCAGTTTCAATGTTTTATAATATGTAATGGCATATTTTATGGCAATACTGAGATTATTGTACTCACCAAAGGGAAGATATAATACAAGTTACACATCTTTTGATAGATTGAAATAAATTGCATTAGATAACAATAAAATGTGACAACTTTTTCCATTTTTTTTGTTTTTGAAAAAATGATATCAATTTAAATATTTGTTTCAGATCTCTCTCCCATTCCTAAAAAAATTTTAAATATTTTTTCTAAATAATATAAATATATTGTAACAACAAAATATAAATTCAGTAAGTCAATTGTCTGATCTTTCAGTCTTATATTCATTTATTCTAATTCGACTGATTTTAGTACATACTTTTGGTGATGTATAGACTAAATTGCAGGGATTAAGGGCCTGCATAACCCAGTGTTCTTCCCACTATGCTAGAGTCTGAAAAACTGTCACCCATGGGCCAATCCAGTCTGCTGCTTATTTTTGAATGACCTACAAGCTAAACATTTATGTATATAAATAGTTTTTAAAAATCATAAGAAAAAGATAATATTAATGATACACGAGCATTATATAAAATTCATATGTCAGTGTTCACACAAAAATATTATTGAAATTCAACTTGTTCATTTGATTACATATTATCTATGACTCCTGTCATGCTACAGTGGCAGAACTGAATAGAAACTGTCGCCTGCAGAGCATAAAATATTTTTTAACTGACCCTTTACAGAAGAGCTTTGCAAATCCCTTTGCTATACCAATACTACATATGAACTCACTATAAATTTGTGAAACATTTTAGTTATATTCATGTTTAAACAAGTCAGATGAAGAAATCCCAGATAAACAGGAGGACAAGTCTATATTATGCAGCTTAGGTTAGTCTCATCACCACTCCTCAATATTTCAACAAAAATAGTTCCATGGAAAGAGGAAGGAACCTTTGCAACTTGACAGACCTGGATGTCTTGATCCACACCCTGCTACATTCAAGTTATGGTACTTTGAGTAATTTATTTAAACTTTCATTTCTCTTCTATGTAAATCTAGATAATTTGACCAACTATACAATGTTAGTACAGAGAATTAAATACAGGCCTTTGCAACTTGAAAGCCCAAGTCCTGATACATTCTAGTTTTACTGTCTTAAGTGACTTATTCAGCCTCTCACTTTTTCTTATATATAAATTGAAATAATATTAACAACCATATAAGGTTATTCTTACAAATTAAGCAGAATCATATGCAATACATAGGTGAGAGTACCATTCCCTGTTTCCTTTAGCATAATAGTGAATGCTGAGACAATATAGATAAGGTTGTTTGTCTTATAGATGTTTCTTGTGAAGAACTGGAGACTTAAATTTATTCTTGTAATATGTTGTGAAACATCCAGCCACATAAGAATCCTCTGAAATATTTCTGACTTAGTCAATAAATCATATTATTACTGTTACGTGTTAAAATCTGTGCCTCCAAAAGGATATGTCTTTCTTAGTCAGCTCTTTCATTGCTGTGACCAAAGGACCTGAAAAAAACAACACAGAGGAGGAAAAGTTTATTTTGGACCATGTTTTCAGAGATTCAGTCTATGGTCAGTTGACTCCATAGTTCTGGGCTTGAGGTGAGGCAGAAGATCATGGTGGAAGGGCTTGGTGGAAGAAATCATATGTGGACTGGCAACAGGGAAGCAGAGAGAAAGTTCTGTTCCCCCGGGAGAAAATGTATTCCCCAACAACACACCCCCAATTACTTACCTCCTCCAGCTACACCTTAACATGCCTATAGTTATCACCCAGTTTATAACTATTAGTGGATCAATTCACTAATTAGGTTAAGGCTCTTATAACCTTATCATTTCACATTTGAGAATTCTTGCTTTGTCTTACACATGAGCTTTTGAGGGACATAACTCCTAGTAAATGATTCAGAATGTGACCTTATTGGAAAATAAGATCACTGTCCATAAAATTAGTTAAGATGATGTTGCACAGGAACAGGGCAGGCCTTTACCGTAATATGACTAATGCTCTTATCAGAATTCCAGAGATCATCAACAAACACTAAAAACTAGGAAGAAGCAGGAAAAGATTTCTCTGCAGGTTTCAGAGGAATCATGATATCGGACTACTATCCTCCTGAAGTGTGAGGCAATGAATTCCTGTTGCTTTAAGGCACCCAGTTTGTGGTACTTTGCGATGGCAGTGTTAGGAAACCAATACAGTCACTATACAACCCTTTACCTTCTAATAAACACACAACCCTGACAGGAGGTTTCAGTAGATTATGAGGAACTTGACTGACAAACATCAACAGAGACAGTGTATGAAGCTATTATTGGTAACTGCAATGAATAAAAATTATGTTTCATGTTCTTGTGTACTTTTTGGTATGTAAACCTAGGGAATAAGAACAGCCATGTGGATCTTGTTAAAATTGGATTTTTTCCCTATATCTTCTTACCAGCATCACCCAGAGCTCTACTGCAGAACTCAGAATTTTAGAGACTTTAGACTTAAGACTCCATAAACAAGGGTTTGGTATAGACAGAGAGGCCACTTTCATCCCTCTATCAAAAGTTCCATTAGAGACACAATCCCATTATGACAAAGAAGTCATATACTATATCAATCAATTTGCTTTCATTTGTGACATCTTTCAAGTGTGTACAATTTACAACCAATTTTGGCAAACCAATGTAAGTTTCAGTTTTTCCCCCAGAATATTCTTTTTTTTTTAAAGAGAGAGAATTTTTTAATATATATTTTTTAGTTTTCGGTGGACACACATTTTTATTTTATTTGTATGTGGTGCTGAGGATCAAACCCAGCGCCCCATGCATGCCAGGCCAGCGTGCTACCGCTTGAGCCACATCCCCAGCCCTTCCCCAGAATATTCTTAAAAAGCAACTCAATATCTCATAATGCAGCCTAGCTTGTTATCCTGACTCACACCTGAGAATATAAAATGTAAATCATTCCAAACCTTTAATGTTTTACTGCAGGTAGTGCAGATGTGGATGAAGGAATTGAACAAAATTTCTAAACTTTTAATTTTATAACATTTATGAAAAGTGTTATTTATAAAAAATTTATCTATTACCTTATTTTCATATTTATTTGTAGAAACATTTTCAGCTTTATTCTAGAAAATGTTCTATGCTTTAGAAAGAAAACAAAAGTTGCTTTCCTTTTCAAACAGTAATTGTAAGTTGTTTTGATACATTTTTGGTGACAGATGTGGGATTGTAACCCCTATTTTTCTATTCTCAGCTTCTGTTGATAATACATTCTATCTAATTGTTAATGTAAGAAAAATAGACTGTCAGAATTTACTCCATTAAATAGTCCTTCCTTAGTCACTGGTTAAGTAATTTTAAAATTTATTTTGTTTTTGTACAATGTAAATCTCAAAAAGGCACATGATGCATTTGTGTGTGAGAACATGTATATGTGTGTGGTACTAGGGGACGAACCCAGAGGTGCTCTACCTTTTGGCTACTTTCCCAGACATTTTAAAACATTTTTATATTGAGACATGGTCTTTACTAACTTTGTCAGTCTGGCCTCAAACTCTTGATACCCCTGCCTCACTTTACTGAGTTGTTGAGAATATAGGCATGCACCACACCCAAGTATTGCTATTCTTGAAATTTGTGATTATTTTCTTCTGAAAGATTCATTTAACAAACAAATCTTACAATAAGGGATTAAAAAGTGGTGAAGCTGGAGTTGTGGCTCAGCAGTAGAGCACTTGCCTAGCAAGTGTGAGGCCCTGGGTTTAATCCTCTGTACCACATAAAAATAAATAAATAAAATAAAGTTATTGAGTCCAACTATAACTAAAATAAAGACTAAAAAAGTGGTTTTGCTTCTGAATAAATATGACAACTACATATATACACATTGGCATGTTTTGATAATTTTTAAACAAAATTATAATGAGAATTAATAATTCATTTATCAAACCAAAAAGGTTTGGGAAAAAAGAGAAAGCATGATTATTTTAGCATTCACATATTAACTATTTGTAATTTTTCAGGTTGTCTTTTCTGACTGAAGATCCCATCTCTTAGCAAAATTACACAACGTATAATTTGGTTAGGAAGAAACTATATCAGCTTGATTAATTTGTATTTCTCAGGTCTATAGTTTAAAAAATTTATTCCAAATATAACCATGTAATATTGAATGCACATAGTTGAAACAGGGTTGACAGTGTAGAATGAATTACACCTACCATGACTTTTTACTTAAATTCTTTCCTAAAATCAATGAGATAGTTTAAAGGAGTTTTTAAGATCAGGTGCCAAGTATTCTGTAAAATTTGTTGATTTAATTCCAAGAATTCTTGCTCCCCTAAAAATACAACCCCCAAACAAAAATCACATGGTATGATAGATATATACAATGACTTGAAATATCATTTGTGAGAAAGATCCTTTTTTTCCATCTATTTATTACTATTTGGTTAAAATAGTATTTGCTTGCAAATATTTTCATACTTCCTATCTTAAATATTGATTTTCCTTTCTTATGTTTCAGAGAACTCAAAAGAAAGACCATCTCAATACCAAAAATCAAGAGGATATTGAAGAGTCTCTAACTTTACAACTGATCTTGGGTTGCTGAGGAAAGAAACCCATGGATGTCTAACATTAAACTCTGAGGCAAGCCTAGAGAGGCATATGAGCCGATCCTATCATAAATAGCTCAAGTTGAAAGGCAGCAGGGCCAGTGACAGCCCTTGCTTCTAGTCTGCATACTACCCAGGAGTTCAGCTTATCATATTTCATCTGTGGATAAAGGAGTCCTTATGGAGCTTTTAGTATTCTTGATTTTGCTGCCTTGAATGATTTTCTTTTAAATTCTAGTTCTTGTGTGTCTTTCTTCCCATTGTCAATCTTTTTTTTTTTCTTTTTTCTTTTTTGGTACCAGGGATTGACCTCAGGGGCACTGGACCACTGAGCCACATCCCCAGTCTTACTTTGTGTTTTATTTAGAGACAGGGTCTCACTGAGTTGCTTAATACCTTGCTAAATTGCTGAGGCTGGCTTTGGAATTCTCAATCCTCCTATCTCAGCCTCCCAAGCTGCTGGGATTATAGGCATGTGCCAACGTGCATGGCTCATCTTCAATCTTTTTGCAGAATAAACACTTTAAGACTTAGGAAGCTTTTCTAAAAATGATGAAGTGTTTTTTATATATTCATTTTCCCTTCCTAACTTTTCATTTAAATAGCATTAACCTCTAGTCATATTTGTGTTTAAATCATCAGTTTCTTTTAATGATTGATCAATTTTTGTTGGCCCAATTTGAAAAGAATAGAAAAACATGACGTGCAAAATAAAATCACCTTAAATGTGACTCTACATGGAAGTATGCACTGTTAAAAGTTTTGAAATACTGTTTTCTATAGCATTTTTCCAGTCATAGTTTTGGTCAGGATCATAATTATGGCGCACAGTTTTGTCTTGATTTTTATGACACCCCTAAATGTCACTAAGGAATTCGTAATTTTTAAAAATATTTTTAAGTTGTAGGAATTTCTGCCAACTGCTTAGTTTTTATTCATGTAGCAGTAGATAATTTATACAATTTTTAGTTTTTCTTTCTAGTTTTCCTTTGTTGCAAATGCCACTCTAATCAATATCCTTGTAAATAATCTATTTATTCATGCCCACTTAGGATAAATTTCTATACACAGAATTGGTACCATTATGATTTGGATCTTAAATGTTCCCGAAAGGTTCATGGGAGGAAGGCTTGTTTGCCAGCTGCTGGTGAGGATGATGTGAGAGGTGGTAGAACAGTAAGAAGTGGGGCCAGGTAGAAGAAAGTGAGTTCTTGGGGGGAATTCCACTGAAGGAAATACCAGGGCTTAGTTCCTCTTCTCTCTTTGCTTCCTGGCTTCCACCAGGTGGACAGTCTTCCTCTACCACCCACTTCCACCACCATGATGTGCTGTACCACCACAGGTCCAAAGCAATTGGACCAAGTGACTGTGTATGGACAGTCACTTGGACCTGTGAGCCAAAACAAGTCTTTCATCATCATCAGTTTATCTCAGGTATTATGTCATAGAGGAAAGGTAACTGACAGAGGGACCTTCAGAAGTAGGACAAATTTTAAGGCTCTTGATAAATGTCATAATTTTTCTTTGTATTTATTTCATTCATACAATGTACATGTGGCATTTCATTGTATAGATCTGTTATATATTTTCTGTATTTGCAATATAAGTTTGGGGTTGCAGGGCCATTATGAATTATACTTGCCTTTGCCCTTCTGTTTGATCAGATCCTAGGGTTGGCATTTCAAAGTCATACGAAATGAGTATTTTCATCATGTACCTATAATGCCCAATGGTTTACATAATCATTGTACCAATTTGCATTCCTACCATGTAAGAGTTCTCATTGTTCCACATCTTCACCAACACTTGGTTCTGTCAGCCTCTTTTTACAGACCCCTGGAGGGGTCATAATGACACATTTATTTTATACTTATATACACCTGACAAATAATA